GTGGATTTTAGTACACATACTCTTTTAGAAATTTTATTTCAGTAATAGTATTGTGTGCATATTTGTCCTATCTTTAGTACTTCTCTATTATAATTGTAATGGTTGTGTGCTGGCATATTGTAGAACTGTATATAATTATTTAATCATTCCTAGGAGTACTTACTAAAACCATTTAGCATAGAAGGGGCTTATTCTCTGGATTTGTTGTTCTCACATTAGATACAGTTACATAGAATTTTACAGTCTTTTTTGTTGTTGTTCCTGAATGTGTGTGACAAGAAAGTTATACTGTGTGCTTATTTAAAAATTGTGCTATCAAAATGCACATTTTCTTAATATCTTTCAGACTCAATTAGCAGAGCCTCACAGACAATGGCCAAATGTGTCAAAGCTGTCACGGAGGGTGCCCAGGCAGTAGAGGAACCATCCATATGCTGAAACTTCTGCTAGGAGCCCCATTTTCTTACAGATAATTAATGGACAGTTATGTTGGAGTGATCTCCTACAGGTTTATCTCTTTAAAAAATAATCTGAATGATGTAATACTCAAGGTCTTACCTTGCTTATTTGAAAATGATGCTGCAGTTATCAGTGAACTTTGAGGTTTCAAAGACATATATGTATTGTGTGTAAACATTGTTAAATTGTTCAATAGTGTATACAGATGCTCTTTCACATAAAAGTATTGGCAGTCTTTGTGACACATAAAAAGAAAATTCTTAAAATATGAGTTTTTGTTTATTTTCATTGATATTTATGTTTGTAAAAATGGATGAAATAAGAAGAGCTTCCATCAGAACCCATTGGCTTCTAGTGCTCAAGGAGGAATTTGAGCATTCTGTCAAACAGGGTAAATAGAAAAAGTATGTGTAACATAATCACACATCAGATATGTATCTTGGACAGCTATAACTAATAATAATCATAATAATGATAGGTAATGATTATTCAGCTTTTTCTATGTGCTGAGCACTCTGGTTGTACATGCATTATCTTGTTTTGTCCTTGCTACAACTCTGTGAGGTAGTGCTATCTCATTTTACAGATGAAGACACTGAAGCCTGGGGATATTTGGTAGCTTGCCCAAGGTCACAGAAAAATAGTTAAGAACTCTAGTGTGGTTCCAGAGCTCATTGTTCTTACCTGCTACACATAATTCCCTCCCATTAATATAGATCTTAGGTTGTTATTTCTAAGAATTAGCAGTGAGAAGGTTAATGGATAGTACATCTTCATGTTTTCTCTTGAACCTGTTTATATGCCATGGTGATTTATGTGAAATTTTTCTTTGTATAAGAGATTATCACACACGTACCACTGGAGTGGAGTGATGGAGTTAAGGGATATAATTTCGGTCTTTGTTGATGTTCCGTATTCATTATATTAACCATCTGCAGTTTTAAGTCAACTAAATTACTCCAGTAATAGAACACAAAACTAACAGCTTTTATAATTTTCAGTTGTTAAAACAAAATGGAGGTAAAAGTTTATAATTAATCAGGAGATAATTTAAAGCCATATTAAATGTTTTTCAAAATCTATGGTCAGAATCCTAATCCTTTTGTTCTGTAACCCTTATTCCTGCTTTCCCTAAAGACTTAGCCCAATTATAGGATGTGATATTCTTGATACAACAGTAAGATTTTTCAAATAGTAGTATGTCTTTGATGCTTTATCTTCAAAAAGATAAACTGTACAGAATGTCACCTGTAAATTTTTTCCAAACTGTTTATTTTTTCAATAGAGATACATTATGAAGTATATTTTGCTTAAAGTACTTAAAATTCTAAGTTGCCTGAAATTGTACAAATTCTTTCTGAAAGTCTTTGAATTCAGTACAAACTTTTTGTCCCCCTCTACTTTCTTTATCCCTTAGCACTGTAGCTGACCTCAAGGGGCCATATGCTGCCAGTTTTGTATTCTACACAGTAATTTTCAGTGAATGTGTGTAGACTTCATAGACCTGTTGGTGAGGGAATATTGTGTTCAAATGGAGAAAAGGTAATTATATGACCAAGATGGTTCAGAATCCTTGGGCTGCCATCTAGGCAACATGTGTTGAACTTGTAATTCTATAAAGAATACCTTGTCTGGGGTAAGTAGTGCTCAGTAAAATTGGCTGGTTTTTACATAAAATAAAACATGAAAGTCTGTCTAATGGGGCATTTATTAATCCTGTAGAACTAAATATTAAGGTTATTGTGAACATAAACATTAAAGGTGGTTGCTAGGGGGAAAAAAGGCTTTCTGAAGAAGAGCCCCCAAATAGAAGAAAAATACATAAAGGTGAGAATAACCTGGCTGATATAATTATGATTCTAAGTAATGAAACAATGAGAAAGTTACAGAGCTCAAGATTCCTTTGGGTGAAGAAGGAAATGTGAAAATACCCTCTCATTTAAAGCGGACCTAAATATGTATCACTAAAGTTTTAAGTACATTATGTCTAATTTTCACAAAAACCCTGCAAACAATAGGTATTGAGACCTAAGAAATACCAAATAATTTGCCTAATAAAGCTGCAGAGTTAGAGACAAAGGCAAGGGAGTTTAATTAGAGATATCTGATTGTCCCACGTTGCCTCAAATATAAACCTCTCGGACAGCTATGAAAATTGAGTAGATGCGCAAGAAAGATTTTAAAGCCTAAGCTCTATGCAAAATGCTTCCCAATTTTATTATGAACTGTATTACAACAAATACATTAATAAAAAGTGTGACGCCCTCTTAGTAATACCCAGTATACAGTCATTTGTTATTGTTTGTTGCTGAGTTATTTAAATACCACTTCTTGCCAGGTCAGAACTTTGGAAAGGTTACTAAGAAAAATTTGAAGGTTATTTCTTCATTTGTAAAATGGGGATAAAAATAGAATAATTATATTTACCTCTACCCCATACTGTTATTACGAAGATTAGGTCAGAAAACCTATGAAACTCTTAGCTTACTTCCTGACAAAGTACATGTTCAATGTGCTCAGTAACAAGACCATCATTATAGGGAAATGTGTATTCAGAATTTTTCTAACAGTTCAGGGTTGCAGGGAACCATCCATGGGAGTTTTGTTACTGTTTTTTTAAACTAAGCTGTGTACCCAACATGGGGCTCAAACTCAGAAGAGATCAGCAGTCACTCTACTGACTGAACCAGGCAGGCACCCCCAAGGGAGTTCCTGATCCTAAAATTAAAAGTCCCCATTCTAAATGAATGAAGTGAAAAACTCAAACTATGGTTGTGAGGGAAAGTCATGCCTAATAAAACCTCCAGCTTTTATTTTTATAAATAAAATGAAATGCATTCCTTTCTTAAGGCTCCAAGGAGTTAATGACTTATTCAAGGTCACCTAATTGATTCACCTAATCAACAAAACACTGCTACTATATATATGTACATCCACCAAAGCTGTGAAAATGTATTAAGCAGAACTCTGTGCTTATTTTGATGGAACTTTTACCGGTTGTAGGAAGATTTACTGAGTCTGTTGGGTTCTAAGGAAAATAATCTGATAAAGATCTATTGGAACAAAAAATTGTGTATAGACATATATATGGCCACCATTTAATAATGATGAAGGTAGCTGATAACTCCCCAATAATTTTTTAATAACTGAGACTTTAAAATATCTTAATAATTGCATAGTACTTTAATTAGCTTGCTTATTTAATTTAGCCCCAAGAGACAATCAGAAAACTATGACTAGAACTCAGGTCCAGATTTTAAGAGAATAAGGATCTTGAAACCAAATACCTTTTACTTGAAGTGTTTGTAGATTTTACTACTGAAAAATTCTAAAGATTGATTTGCCTATGACTTTCAAAATCTTCGATATCTTAATATTTGAAAAATAACCTATACTGGAAAGCATATGTTGGTACTGAAAAATGGTGAATGTGTGGTTTAGGACTAGTGATTAGTGAATTTTTTTTTTTAATATTCCATTTATTCATTTGACAGAGATCACAAGTAGGCAGAGAGGCAGGCAGGTGGGGGGGAGCAGGCTCTCTGCCCACTGAGCAGAGAGCCCGACATGGGGCTCGATCCCAGGACCCCAAGATCATGACCCGAGCCGAAGGGAGAGGCCTAACCCACTGAGCCACCCAGGCACCCCTACAGTATTGAATTTTTAATTGGTATGTAAAGAGATCACAAGATGAAAACATTAATGTCCTTCCCAGGGCATGTACACCCAAATGTTTATTGCATCAATTTCCACAATAGCCAAACTATGGAAAGAACCTAGATGTCCATCAACATATGAATGGATAAAAGAAGATGTGGTATATATCTACAATGGAATACTATGCAGACATCAAAAGAAATGAAATCTTGCCATTTGCCAACGATGTGGATGGAACTAGAGGGTATTATCCTGAGCGAAATAAGTCAATCAGAGAAAGACAATTATCATATGATCTCCCTGATATGAGGAATTTGAGAGGCAGAGTAGGAGGTTTGGGGGCTAGGGAAGGAAAAAATGAAACAAGATGGGATCAGGAGGGAGACAAACCATAAGAGATTCTTAATCTCACAAAACAAACAAGGGTGGTGGGGGGGGAGGGTAATGGACGTTGGGGAGGGTATGTGATACGGTAAGTGCTGTGAAGCGTGTAAGCCTGACGATTCACAGACCTGTACCCCTGGGGCAAGTAATACATTATATGTTAATAAAAATAATTAATTTTAAAAAGTTAATGTCCTTAGAAGCATATAATTTGAGGTCTGAAAAGGACCGTAGAAAGAAACCTAGTGGTTTTTTTGTGTGTGTTTTTTGTTTGTTTGTTTGTTTTAAGTAGGCTCCATGCTGATGGAGCCCCACATGAGGCTTGAACTCATAACCCTGAGATCAAGACCTGAACTGAGACCAAGAGCCAGATACTTGGGGCGCCTGGGTGGCTCAGTGGGTTAAAGACTCTGCCTTCGGCTCAGGTCATGATCTCAGAGTCCTGGGATCCAGCCCCACATCGGGCTCTCTGCTCAGCAGGGAGCCTGCTTCCTCCTCTCTCTCTGCTTGCCTTTCTGCCTACTTGTGATCTCTGTCTGTCAAATAAATAAATAAAATCTTTAAAAAAAAAAAAAAGCCAGATACTCGGGGCGCACGGGTGGCTCAGTTGTTAGGCGTCTGCTTTCAGCTTGGGTTATGGTCCCAGGGTCCTGGGATGGAGCCCCACAACGGGCTCCCTGCTCAGCAGGAAGCCTGCTGCTCCCTCTCCTACTTGCTCTGCTTGTATTCTCTCTCCCTGTCTCTCTCTCTCAAATAAATAAAATGTTAAAAAAAAAAAGAAAAGCTAGACATTGTACTGGCTAAGGTAGCCAGGTGCCCCAAGAAATCTAGTGTTATATGTGCATTTTGTAGTTGTGGAAATGGAAGCCAGAGAGAATTAGAGAAAAATTAGGGCAGGTTTTTTGGGTTGCAGGTTGAACCAGCTCTTCTGACTCCTGGTTCAGTGACATTTCAAAGCCTTAAATTCAGCTTTGAGATTTATGAAACATTTGCAGAGTATTGCGTGCCAAGTATAATACTAGGAGAAATGCACTTCAGTTTGTGTCCTCAAGAAGCTAACAGTGTAGTAAAAGATCTGTAAACATCAATTATAGTAATGTCAACATTTGAATACAGGTATAATAGAGTGGTGGCCATGACTGAACCTGACAAAATTTTAAAGCTTAGTAATACCCAGGGTTAGCCATTATCTGGAGAAACAGATAAACTCATACACTGTATGATATCCATCAAAACTTTATTCTTATTTTTTAAGTTTTTTTTTTTTTTTTGGAGAGAGAGTGCGAGGGGGAGAGGCAGAGGGAGAGAAGGAATCCTCAAGCAAACTCCCTGCAGAGCACAGAACCCAACACTGGGCTTGATCTCGGGAGCCCAAGATCATGACCTGAGCTGAAATCAAGAGTTGGCCTCTCAACGGACTGAGCCACCCACATGCCCCAAAAACATTTTTTTTTTAAAGATTTTATTTTTATTTATTTGACAGAGAGAGATCACAGTAGACAGAGGCAGGCAGAGAGAGAGAGAGAGAGAGAGAGAGAGAAGCAGGCTCCCTACTGAGCAGAGAGCCCGACGCGGGACTCGATCCCAGGATCCTGAGATCATGACCCGAGCCGAAGGCAGCGGCTTAACCCACTGAGCCACCCAGGCGTCCCCCAAAAAACATTTTTAAAGATTTTATTTTTAAATTATCTCTACACCGAACATGGGGCTCGAACTCGGTCCTGAGATCAAGAGTCCCATGCTAGGGGCGCCTGGGTGGCTCAGTGGGTTAAAGCCTCTGCCTTCGGCTCAGGTCATGATCCCAGGGTCCTGGGATCGAGCCCCACATCGGGCTCTCTGCTCAGCAGGGAGCCTGCTTCCTCCTCTCTCTCTGCCTGCTTCTCTGTGATCTCCGTCTGTCAATTAAATAAATAAATTCTTAAAAAAAAAAAAAAAAGAGTCCCATGCTGCAGTGACTGAGCCAGCCAGGTGCCACCCCATCAAAATTTTAAATGCTCATTTCTTAGACCAAATAATTCCACTTCCAGGAATTTACCGCAAAGATTACCAACAGGAATTGCAAAGACTTAAGTAGAATGCACATTCACATTGGTCATCAAATAAAATGAAAAAAATTTAAATGTCCATCAATGGAGGACATAAAATATTTTTGGTATAAAATATACACATGGTGGGACGCCTGGGTGGCTCAGTTGGTTAAGCCGCTGCCTTCGGCTCGGGTCATGATCCCAGGGTCCTGGGATTGAGTCCTACATCGGGCTCCTTGCTCAGTGGGGAGCCTGCTTCTCTCTCTGCCTCTGCCTGCCACTCTGCCTGCTTGTGTTCTCCCGCGCTCGCTATCTCTCTCTGACAAATAAATAAATAAATAAATAAAATCTTAAAAAAAAAAATATATATATATATATACACACACACACACACACACATGGTTAAAAGCCTGAGCTAGATCTCCACTTGCTGTTATGGAAAGAACTGCAAGATACATTAAGAACTTTAATTTTTTTAAAAGATTTTATTTATTAGTGAGAGAGCACAAGCAGGGAAAGCGGCAGGCAGAAGGAGAGGGAGAGGAAGAAGCAGACTCCTGCTAGGGCTCCATCCCGGGACTCTGGGATCATGACCTGAGCCAAAGGCAGATGTCTAACCAACTGAGCCACCCAGGGGCCCCCATTAAGAACATTAAGCGGCAATAATACGTATCTGTACCTATATATATATATATATATATATGTTTACCTATATGTAAAAAGTAGTTCAGCAGAAAAAAAAAAACTGTGACTTCTGGGTAGTTCAGCTAAAGTGAGGATAAAGAACAGGATTTTACACCTCTATCATTTGAACATCTGAGTTTTTACAGCAAGAATATTTTGCTTTTATAATTTTTAAACACGTTGTTTAAATGAAGACTATGTAGCAAACCAAAATATATAGGCTGATGAAAACTAAATATAGCAGGATACAAAATTCTGTGTATGTTACATGTGGTAGGCAGCCTCTAAGATGGCCCGCGTGATGGTTGCCCGCTGGGATTCACGCCCTTATGTAATCCCCTCTCTTGGAGTGTGGGCTGGACTTACTGATTCACTTGTAATCATTCGGGATGTCCCTGCTGGGTTTTTAAGACTGGCTTCCATCTTGGACGTTCTCTGATTCTCTCCCTCTCGGATCACCACCTGGGATGTTGTGAGGACACATAAGCAGCCTCGGAAAAGGACCAGGTGGTAAGGAAGAGGACTGCCTCCCAGCGACCATGTGAGCGAGCTGAATCCTTTGACCCCAGTTCCGTTGAGATGACTCAAACCTGTACATTGCTAGATTCCCGACACACAGAAACCGAGATGCTAAATGTTTGTTGTTTTTAGCCACTAGGTTTTGGGTTATTTTGTTATGGAATAATAGATAACTATAACAGCAAAAGCATGTGGCAGGATGACCCGCATACAATGCCTGATCCATGTGGGAACACAAAGACCTGACCTTCTAGACCCACTGGGCGACAACTCTGGAAGGCTGTCTGAGCGCTAAGCTCTCTGTGGGGTTGGCTGAGATTGTCATCGGGGCTGCAATCGCAGATTAGCTTTCCCTCTGCTCATTCCTGCTTTCTTTCCCTCCCTTACAGTGTCGACCTCCAGGGAACTCATTAATAAATGTTCTGTACATTACACTCTTCTCAGAGTCTGCTACCTGGGGAATCCAATCCGTGATCACCATCCAGAACATCTATGTATCCTAGAGAGCTACTCCAAATATCACCATCTCGGCCAGCAAGACGTTCGTGAGCGAGAGGAAGCAGGGAACAAGCTCTAAACATTTTATTGACATGACTCGGAAATTACGTCACTTCCACTCAAATATCATAGGTAAGAATTACAGCCACATTCACCTGCAAAAGAGGAAGCTGGGAAATGGACCTTCTAGTCACGTAGTCATCTACCCAACTAACTGAAACAGATTCTAAGAGAAGTGCTCTAGTTTTGTTTTTGCTGTGTAAGAAACTAACCCAAAACGTAATGGTGTAAAACAGCAACCGTCTTATTACACTCAGGAGATGATTCAAGATACAGAAAGGACACAGCAGAGACGGGAGTGAGTCATCTCTGGCAGGCCAGAACCCCAGCTGGATGGCTGCGGTACTGGAGGTTGACTCAGACAGCTGGGGCCTGGAGCAGCTGTTAGTGGGAAGACCCAGTTCCCAGATAGCATCTTTGCTCTCCCGTTTGGCTCCTGGGCTGGAATGATAGAAAGACTGGTTCAGAGGGGACTGTCTTCCAGAGCATCTACTTGTGGCCTATTCCGCAGGACAGTCTCAGGACAATTGTGCTTGCAGAGTACTCAGGGCTCCAAGAGCAAGAGCAGCGAGGAAGGTTTTTAATACTTAACCTTGGAACTTATATAGCTTCACTTGCACTATCCTTTACTGGTCAAGTCAGTCTGGCCAGAGCCCACCCAGATTCAAGGGGAGGAAACATATATCCCATGGGAGGAGTGTCGAAGAATTAAAACCACTGCAAGGGTAGATACTGGGGGACGATTAGTTTCTGCCACAGGCCCTTTATCTGTACCACAGCAACAAAGAAGGAGACACAGAGAGAAAAGAAGAGAGACCAACTATAAAATTTTTTTATTGATTTATTTTTAAAATTATTATTATATGTAAATATATTATTATTATTACTATTTTTTAGAGAGGGGGAGGGAGAGCAAGAATGAGAGAGCACAGGGTTGAGGGGGAGGGAGAGAGAGAGAATATATATCTATATATATTTTGTTTGTTTTTGAGAGAGGGGGGGGCAGAGGGAGAGGGAGAAAGAAAATCCCAAGTAGGCTCCACACCCAGGATGGAGTCCAATTTGGGGCTCAATCTCACAACCTTGAGATTATGACCTGAGCTGAAATCAAGAGTTGGATGCTTAATTGACTGAGCTACTCAGGCAGCCCAGATGAAGTTTCTATAATATACCAGTTAATCTGTAGTTTTTTTCTAATTGCCACATACACAGCTCCACTGCTTTTGTATCCAGAATAGAGTTGCTAAGTCCTTTATCATATATAGGATAGAGCCGAAGCCCTTTCTGAAGGGAAATGTTCTTTGTGGGATTAAAGCTGTTTACAGGAGGAATGAGTCTCTGGTAGGTTGCTTACCGATTGTCCAGCTTGGGTTGCTATAGATTGGGTAACCACTAGGTCCTAACAAAGTAGTGTTCCTCAAGGAACATATTTAGTATCATAGTTTGAGTACCATAGTGGTACCCAAACTAGTTCTCTAAGGTCTTCCATTCCATTTCCGCTTTATAAAATTTAATATATTATTCAGCATGATAAGTAACCTCCCTGTCAAACAATGTACTGTACATTATTAATATGTTTTTTTTTTTTCCCTGAATTAAAAAAAGAAAGGCTTTGGGCACACCTGGGTGGCTCAAGTCAGTTAAGTGTCTGCCGTCAACTCAGGTCATGATCACAGGGTCCTGGGATTGAGCCTCACATCAGGCTCCCTGATCAGCCAGGAGCCTGCTTTTCCCTCTGCCTGCTGCTC